CAGTAAATAGGCCTATGTGTAAAAAAATTGAGTAGTTGAATATGTGTTCTTTTTTTCCATGAATTAATGGAAAGACAACAGGGGTCGGGAAAATTTTGATTCCTAGATTGAGGGAAATGAGATTTCCTGGTTTCTGAAGGGTCTTTTGAATTCTTAAAGGTTTTCCCTCTAAATGGTCAAATAAATTTTGTTTTCATTTTTATTAAAGTAAATAGGCCTTATGTGTGTATACGTAAAAAAAAAAATTTGAGTAGTTGCATACGTATTCTTTTTTCCATGAATCGATTAACCTTCCAAAAAAAGGGGTCGGGGGTCTTGGCCCGGGAAATTTTTTATTCCTAGATGGTGAGCAATGAACCTCCCCCGACTTCTAATTTTCCCATTGTAAAAAAAAAAAATCAGCTGACGGGTCCTAAAAAGGTAGGTCTAAATTTTTGTTCATCTTTTTTTTGTCTAAGGGGGTCATGACCCCTGACCTCTCAAGATCCGTCAATGATAAAAACAAACTCTGATTACAAATAAATTCAATCAATCAATCAGTTTACCAAGATGATGAGAATGTTTTGTCTACATTCAATACTATAATCATTGTTCAGACTTTGAATGGTACATAGCTTAAGGATGCTTTTAATTGCACGACATGGTGAGACGTAGAATGTAATGATCTGGCTAAAAAGTCATCTGCATAAATTAATGACCTGGCTAAAATGTCAACTGCATAAATTCTCCTTGTCCCATGGATTCTAGGACGCAATTTGACCAATCTGCATCGTGCAGAGAGTGTAGAGTGGCCACACATAAGTGGATCAATTCTAGCATTGCATTGTCACTCAAAGCGAAAGCTCTCTCTTATTCTTAGCACCTACCTCTAGACAGAGGATGTAACTGGCAGCAGATACATCTGGTATGTATATTACCCTCGTATCCTGGAATGTTTTCTTTCTTCATAAGAGCCTAAAAAACACAGAAAAACACAGGTACAACAACCACATTTTATTTTCATATTGTTTATTTATACATCTATTTTGTTCTTTTGTTTGACTCCAAATGTTTTATCCTCTAGTAGTATACTACAGCTATGCGTTTAGTCAGGCCCACACTGCAAATTGCAGTCATCGGTTGACAAGTTTCCTGAGAGAGTACGATGAGGTATGCACAACAAATCGTTTTCATGACAATGCACTCAGTCTGCCATGTTGCATCGTCGAGTGCTTTCACAGAGAGCGGAGATGATTTTGTAGACTGATTGTCACACAACGCAGTGTGTGTGTACAGCCTTAAGCCGGTTTTTCACTAGGCGAATTTATATGCGTGAACCGAAAGTGTCGGTTTGCTTCCTTAGCTCTGATTGGTTGCACATCTTCGCCAAAAGTAGAAAAAGTTTGAATTACTAATTTCACTTGCTCTTTAAAAGAATCTGTGTATGCGGGCAAACATTCATTGGAATTTTTGAAATATTTCAACCATTTTTAAAGATGGTAACACATTATCGTTTGGATGTCTAGACCTGTGTGCAACAACATCTTGATAAACTGTATTGGAAGGAAGGGTAAATGGCTGTGTTTAATGTGCATTTATGGGACAACAATGAATATTCATTATTGTTCCATAATGTGCACTATGGGACAATAATGAATATACAGTTATAAAATTGGTAAGAAAATATATATAAATTATTATACTTTTATATATGTTTGAATACATTTTTTCAAATTTGTTGAAAAAATTATTATCAAAATTCCTTTATGACTTCAATTAAATATAAATCAAATCAAATAATTGTTTACCACAAAAATCCTCAAATTGATTTCCAGTCAATTTAAGAGACTTAAATAATAATATACACATCCTACTTACATCAAGTTTCTTAAATATATCTTTGAACGTGCATCTTTTATCTGAGTTGTTCCTTTTCCTTATGAAACAATTAATGGCCAAATCAGCAAGTTCCTTTACGACTTCATCTTGATCAGTGGTCCAGACCTCCTGTTAAATTGATGTAAATAATTGTGTATTAATAATATTCTAATTTTGTAAAAAATGAATATTAAGCCGGGCACTTGTGCGGCATACAGCAGTTGTATGGCCGTGGTAAGAAGAATCAAACTCAACTCCATGTTAGCACTACCGACACAATACCGTCTGCAGCAAAAAGTATTACCACCAGATAGGGGCGCCATATTACAATTTGAACAGAGTGCAAAACTCGAACATGTATTCTCTAGACGCAGCATGCATTCAATAACAAATGCCTTTTATGTTCTTTTGAGGACACCCTCTAGTTTGTGGTAGTACTTTTTGAGATCAGATTGCATTCCAAAGAAACGTCAAGAGAGGGATCTCTTACAGTTCCATACTCTTTGGTAGCAGTCTGAATAGATCCTTATCAAAAGCAATCCACTGCACACGCACAGTGGCACTGCATTCTCCATAGAATCACGTTGGCCGATGAATGTTTGGCGTAGTGAGTTCCTGTCTTAATATTTGCCAGTCTATTTTATGTGTATAATAAGTGGTGGATCTAAAACTGACAAATGGAGGGTCCTTTCCTACAAAATTTTAGGTTGTTTATGAAGGCCCAGAAATGCAATTTCCCACATTTCTGAGGGGTATATGTTGATGATGTTCAATTTCTTCAAATTTCAGTGTTTGTTCTACGTTAGTGTGATAAAACGACGATGTCGAGATAATGGTTAAATAGCCGGCACTATTTGAGTAATGGTGCATAATGTTGGAAAAGAGTGTTCATAGACAGGCAGCTACCTAGGCTGCAAAAGTTTCAGTGGCACTGCATGCCAGGTGGCAATGGACCTACACCCACAGAAATGACATGTTAGACCATTTTTAGTAAGCAGTCTACAAAAGGAAATGTGAGCCTTAATAGACAATTAGGAGAAAATTTACTCCTGAAGTCTCACTCAACACTGAGATGGTTTCTCTTATTTCTTTTTTTTTCATCTGATTATTTTATATAGTCAACAGGAAACAAAGGTACAGAAATGAACAAAAATAAACAAAAAAAATATTTTTAATAAAAACATATTAAAATCTTTAATATTACTTTGTCAACTTTTTTATATAGATCTCCACAGTTTTCCTCAATATCTCTTTGTCTCGAAGATGCCAGTGACTCACACTCAGGTGGTTCCTTTCCTTGCTGTGCTGGTAAGCTGGTAATACAGCGGAATATTACTTCAAGTAAAACAGAAAAAAATCCAAAGAATAGTAGAATATAATTAGAAATGGAATTTTCTAGAAACTGAAAATTGAAAATGAACTTATTAAATACAACCATCATATATTTTGAGATATATTTACCTCTAGTTGACCAAATTTTAGACTTAAATATGATTTGCTTGAATCTGATTACAATGATGTAGGTTGTATTTTTGACAAATACTGTAAAAAATACCTAATATATTGCTTGGATGAGGTACAATGAGCTATACAAGAACCTGTAATGCTATCTTATAGAACACCCGCTGGATTGGTGTTAAATCTGTCCTGGCCTGTTAATGCGAGTGCAATAAAATTTGACGTTCCGTTAATTTGAAATGTTTACTGTATACAGGTTTTTGTGTAGCATGGTGTTTTATATCATATTTTTTAACTTATTAACAATAACAATTTTGTATTGCGCACCACACAAGCGTCAAGTTTTTGTAAGATATTGTTATTATTAGATAGTATAATACATACTCCAAATTATACTATCTTATCTGAGATTAATCAGTTAATTGTTAATGATGTTAATTTATTATTGAGATATGCAAAAAAGGTAAAACATTACAATAATTTACTTGGTTTTGTTGAAATATTATGTTGTTTTACCCATTTTTTTAAAACTGTAAGTTCTAGTGTAAGTTGTTTTTGAATTATTTCTGCTTTCCTTTTTATATTTAATATTGTTCTTGGGGGAAAAATCAAAGTGATGGGTGCCGCTGATTTTAAAATGAACACAATAAATCGTATTGTATTGTATAGGAACGAATGAACATAAATTTTAAAAGTTACTGTATTTGTAAAGAGGTGGGTCGATCCTAAAGGCTTAAATTGGCTTATCAGACTTACCCCCTCCCCACCCCACAACATTAAACTTTACTTAATGAAAAAAACCTTTATTTATTTTTTATTAAAATTTTTATAACAAGAAAAAAGTAATAAATTCATAAGCAAAAACAGTTTTTATTGTTATTACACAGAACCTTTGGCAGATAAAAAGGATTAGTGAAGTGAAGTGAAAACTGAAAGATTCATGTCTTATTGTATGTTGTTAACTTAATATTTCATACTTTGAATTTAGGAAATCTGCATTTTCTTGGCAAATCTTTTTACAAAGGTTAAGCATTTTGGGTAGTGCTGTTTTTGCTACATTGTCTTAATTTAGCCATTCTGGCACTGCAACATATTGAATATTGACATTGGTAATTACCAATATGTTTGCAATGCCAGAATGGCTAAACAAATTAAGAATAACAAATTTATGAAAAGATATTTTCAGATTTTATCCTATGTATACTAAGTAGGATGCTGTATCATTGAATGTATTCCTATGTGTGTACCTGTATTCAATTGCATGACTAGGAATACTTCCATTTGGATAAGGTTCAAAAGAGATTTGTCAATCTGATTGGAGAAGAAATGGGTTCAACATTATACTCTCTTGCTCACAGAAGAGCAGTTGCCTTCTTTTGTTTATTTTATCGATATGTTTTTGGATTTTGTTCATCTGGTTTATCTGATCTCCTTCCACCATACAAATCATTTAGCCGTGTCACTAGGCTTTTACGTGCTTCTTATCACTGCAGAACTAATCAGGATTTTTGAAAGGAGCTTTTATCCTAGAGGCTTTGTGGAATTCCCAGCCCGAGGACTGTTTCACGGAGGAACATAACCTCACTTGTTTCAAGCATAGAATGAATCTCTATCTCATTCACTCTGAAGTCATTCTCTAAAGTTTGCCTGATTGAGATCTTTTTCTTTTTGTCCTTATTTTGTTACTTTTTATCTAGCTTTACCTTGAGTGGCTTCTAGCCTTGTATTTGGCAATTTCAAAATTCAATTCAAGCGCGATGCGCATTAAATCCTACCTGGATACGCGTATTGCAATGAACTGATTGCCCATAACTTAAAGAGAAGGGTGCTGTGTCCGGAGATGCGTAAAAGCTACGAGATATTTCCACTTCAGTTTTTGCTATGCGATTGTGAGAGCTCTATCTTTTGTTTCTACTACTGTAGTGTCTACTGTGCAGTACAAAATAATAGACAAGTAGTATACAACACTTAGTGACTAATTTTAGGCCACTTTCCAGTAATTTATTCATCAGGTGAGTCACATGATCAACAACCTCATCAGACGAGTCACATGATGAATCTGGAATAAATTACTGACGAGAGTTAATGAATACATTTCACCTGAAGTTAGTCAAACAGTGCTAACTTGGTTATTATTACGATTACATGATTTCAAGCTTGTAAATCATTCATACGGCATCCTACATAACAATAAACAAAATATGAATCTAAAATAAATTAATACTTACTAAACAATACTTTGAGATATTATATTACAGTAACACTGTGTCGTTATTACTTTAATTTTATTGGATGCTTGTAATGCAACTCCTGTATTTGAAATCAGTGATGCTAAATCCTAATCATATGTTTATCATATTTATTGCTGTCTCTTATACACATCTAGATGTGTATAAGAGACAGGTCTCAGAGAGTTCTTGCATCGTTAGACGAGAGCATTAAACGAGCTGAGATTGTCACATTACTGCCATTTATTCAGCAAAATATTGACAGATTTAATGTTGTTTTGGGTTCTGAACTGGTGAATGCAATCCAAGAACACATACAGTTACAGGAAGCTTACCTAGAGAAAGCCTGCCTCCTAAAAACCAATGACAATATTTCAAGAACAGGATCTAAAAGTGAACGATCAACACCATTTTCTCAGAGAAGCAGAGATTTATCGCAGCATGAAGGAAGTCGTACTAGCAGTGCTGTTAGTCAGGCAAGTGGAGATGAATCTAAACCAGAAGACATAGAATCCACAGCAAATGTTGACAAGGAACTCTTACACCTGTCTCTTATACACATCTAGATGTGTATAAGAGACAGGTTTAGTAGTAGTGCCAGTCAAAGTTTGTTTTAAGAAAACGAAATGACGTAATTTTGAAGTTTTAGCTCGAACTATGACTAAAGATCGTTTTAAGAATACCGAGGAGAATGTTGCATTGCATATATAATAATAATAATAATAATTACTCTATTTAAACACGGAAAAATTTGATCACCCAAGGGTGTTTTTCATCAAGGCCGTGCAAGGCCATAAGTGGTAAAATATAAAAATACAAAATACATAACAAAAGTATAAACATTAAAGAATTTGATTAAGTAATAAATGTGATTAAAATGTGAAATTAAATAGTATTTTTAGTTAAAATAAATCAAAAACATATATACAATATTAAATGAAAAAAATCTTTGTAAAAATATTTTCAAACACCTTTTGGAACTGTTCGTCCCCTTGTTTTGAACCCTTTGCTATATCCTCGTTGTATTCTTTGATGGCAACAGTTATTGGCTGTCCTCTACTTTCTTTCAGCCACTTGCCTAAAGGAAAAATGTATAATTAGTGATTTCAATGTTATTTTTAATTATCATTAACATTATTATCATCACTTTTATTTATTATTACCCTTATCCTTATCCATAAAACCATAAGTGATATTTTTTACCAAAATCCAACAATAGCTTAAAATAATAGAGAACAGACCAGTAGTACGTAATGTAGGCCTAATTTTCTATGCTACTCTCTACCAGTGTATGCCTATTGTAGTACGCAGCAGTGCACTTTCTTTACTGCAATTTCTACTATAGGTCGTCCGAATGGAGAGGATGGTAAATGAAAAAAATATGGGATAGGTATTTTTTTTTTTTTTTTGGGGGGGGGGGTTTATAATCGACTATCTATTTTGATGAAGTATTTTGTTATAAGTAAAATGTTTTTTTTTTTGTTTGCATTTAGATTAAATTGAATTGAAATTAAATGGAATTTAAACTTTGGGACATGGGCCACGCTGCGTTGGATCACATCATAATTAATATGTACCAAAAATGGCAACGCTTATTATATCCACCCTTTATAATTTTGCGCACCACCCTTTAAATTTTTAGGAGAACATTTTTTAAAATTCCACCACTCTTTAAAACAAGAGCGACCGCTCACCGGTCCATGCGTTCCTTCACACATAAATACGGTACAGACGCAAGCTATTATGTTGGGTTTTTTGGAAGAGCTAATAAGATAGAAATTTTTAAAGAATTAGAATGTTTATTTGTACAAAAAACTTATTATTTAGAATGTTCATTTGTACAAAATAAAAATATCTTAAAATTGAAAAAAAAAATTTCTTAAAATTTGAAAAAAAAAAATTGAATACCAAGACACGATTCGAACTCACAATTTTAAGTTCTTTAGAACACATCCTTAACCGATAGCGCCATCCATGCAACGTGCCCTATTAGTGGTAATGGCAGTAATATACAGTAATTGCTGAAACCCCTGTTTTGTTTGTAGGCATAGTGGGAGCCCTGGGATCCAACATAAAAAAAAGGGAAATGAACGCTTGTCACCTCTAGTTTATGTGCACGAAATTTTCCTGCACGTCAGAGCCTTGCGTGGACACAAAAATCCTGGTGAGAGGGCTACTAATGTGTTTTGAAATGCCTTTAAAGTAAATAGCAATAATTTCTAAAGATATTATGGATAATATGATCGCCATATATATTGTATATTCTAGAAATTTTCATTCTATTAAACAATGGGGATGCCTTACATATATTTATGTAAAATTAATGTATTAATGCTTTTAAAGGCTATTGCTATGAGTAGACTTCAACTGTTGCAATGCATTTTTTTAAATATTAGCAATATTTGACATTTACCTTTGTAGACAATTCCAAAACCACCTTCTCCTATCTTTTCTCCTTTCATTTGCATGATTTCATTTTGACTAAAACGAAAGCATTTTTTCTCTTCACACCAACTCCCTTGTTGAACAGCTTATCAAAAATATATAAAATCATTAAATAAGCAAATTAAATTCAAAATTATATAATAATCATTTAAAAATATTTTTAAAATTGTGTAATATTGTTAAAAGGTTTTCTTAATAGTGATCAATTACAGCAGTTTTCAAATTCTTTGTTTTCAATATCCATGTTCTGTATAAAGTACAATACATGCACTATTCAAATGAATGAGATAAAACCATTTTTGACAGGGCCCCATGTAGAATTCACCAAGAAAAACAAATATAATATTCCAAAAAACTTCCAAAAAGTTCTATGGGACTCTAATGTATTTAAGATTGGCGTGTGTATTAACAAAATTCCTTTAAAGAAAATTAGAGTGTTCTATTATTAGATTTTGAAGCTACTGAAGGAATTTAAGGATACAAACAGACCCTTAAAGCCCCATTCCCGGCAAAATTTCAGTTTTTAAGAAAAATCTAATTTTTATATAATGTTATAAAGATTTATAAATATAATACGGAATTGCTAGTTTAACTGAATTTAGACATTC